AGACGGTTAGGTTTAACATAACGGCTGAGATAAGTCATTTATATTTTTTCCCCCAATATCAATGAAATCTTTCTCGGTACTACTTTGGAGGAAATCTAAATTTACATCTTGCGTACAAGACGACATTCTAGACAATGAAGTTGGTGTTACGCTGTGTTTAAGAACACTTAGTGGAAATTCCATAACAGCTGTTTAGAAACATAGTTCTCCAAAAGATAAAAAGCACAAGATCACAAAGGGCATTCTTTTTTCAGCTGTCGTATCTAAGAGTAATATTGCAGCATCACTGATCCAGTAAAACTCGAAAACTATTCATATTATTCTCTAAAAATAATTAATAATTTTTTTTTATTATTATTTTTTGGATAAAGATACGTTAAACTTTGGAAACGAAATTAATTTACTGAAACAGTGCATTAAAATGACTAATAAGAACACTTCAGAAGTGGAACAGAAAGAATTCTACACCAAAAAAGTACTTTTTGGGGTACAGTCGAACCTCCTAGGTATTTCACTTTAGCGGACAATTTCCATTATCAGGCCATTCCTGAATATATGGATCCTCGAAGACCGTATCACACAATCTAAACATTTCAGAAGAAGAACTGTTTAATGTAATTTTTCTGCTTTGTCACATGACATGAAATAGCCAGTCACTGCCGACTATTTTGAGGTTACCACGGAGAAAGGAGAAACGTTGCCCATACCAAATGCAAAGATCAACTAAGAACTCCCATTCAAACCTTTTATTTCGAAGCCGATAGGATGAAAATTTGCCATTTACAACTTTTCGATGGTAGGGGAAAAAAAGAAAAAAATTGCGCGTTTTTCTTGCGCTGTGAAACAACTGTTCGTCCGAAGCAAATGTACGCGTGGCATGTGTATTTAATTATCGCAAAGCACACTAAGGCTATCTGCCTAAGGGGAGGGATGCCTTCGTGGAGGACTTTCTAAGGGAAACTGGCTCATATACACTTTACACATGGGGAAAACCACGAAAACACCGATGCAGCCAGCCCGTTCGTAGGATTCGAACCTCGGACCGAACTACCAGTGTTCAGCGACTTTACCGCTCGGCCGCTGGTGGGCCCAAATGTATGTGTGAGAGCGCTCTTAAACACTCCCATTTGGAGGACACTCTGATAACAGACAAAAGCTTTAGACTATCCACTAATGGGTTGCATTAGGTTATTGAAAAACGGCAAAGCACATGACAGCATCCTTCTTAAGGGAAGAAATGCCTCTGTGGAGGACTTTCTAAGAGAAACAGGCTCGTATTCACATAATGCATGGGGGGACAAAAACGTGAAGGAAAAAAAACATACAGCCTGCTCATTCTCTTGGGTTCAACCAAACCCAGACTTTCTAAGCCAAACTGGCTCGTATTCACGTTACACACGGTGAAAACAACGAAAATGCATATGCAGCCAGCGCGTTCACGGGGATTTAAACCCGGGTCGAACTACCAGTGTTCAGCGACCTTACCGCTCTAAACACTGGTGGCACACATTCTCTAAGTTGAGATTTGACTACATTTACTTTTTGGATAAAACATTTTCTACTTACGAAAGCTGGATTTTAAGGCGTAAATAGAGTAACCTTATTTCTTAAGACAAAATGAACAACAATTTAATACATGTCAGATATTACTTGTATTAAAAAAACACAAACATTAAAAACATGCTTCACCAATCGGGTCAAAAGAAACATGATACCAATAAATGCAAATGACTATATCATGAAAAAGACTTTACTACAATCATTATTCAAAATCTGGGTAGGCTGATATACAGTTTTAATGCAATTTTTTTTTCCAGTATGAAACATAAATCCCAATAAAATAGCATAAGCTTGAACATTTCAAAGCGTTTATTAAGATTTCCTAGAAATTACAGCATCAATCTGCAGTTTTTGAATCCATTAAATATTTAAGTACAAGTGATCAGCGAATCATTAAACTAAGATAACGCATTCTAAAATGGCACCGAAACCATAAACCACTCTTTGAGAAATGCACATTAATATCTTTAAGACGATATTACCGAGGTACTTATCTCAAATGGAAAAATGACTACATAGTTATTTTGGAGCTTTTGAAAGGATATTTAGAAAAGTTCCCTCGTTAAAAGGATGTGGGAGGTTTACATTCAACGCAGAGAATGAATATTTTTCTTAGGACAAGTTTAAAAAAAGGATATTGATTCAATGGTTATAATACTTCGGAGGCCACTTTTAACTAGAGTTCCAGATCAAAAGCAAGGCCCCGCATCACGCATTAAACGCCAATTTCTGGAAAAATATTCCCCGGAAAACGGCGAGGTCACGAGGTACACTTTAATAAGACTAATAGGCTACCGGAAAAGTAAGGCAAAGGTATTTTATTCGTTAGAAGCAGGCTGACTTTGCTCTACCTAGGACCTGGATTCGCAAACAAGCAAATAGAGGAAGGGAGGAGGCGGTTGGTTCTCAAAGTATCCAAAATAAATCGGAACAGGAATGGACTCCAAGGCAAAAATGAAGAAGCGAAGACTGAAATAAATAAATAACTAAAAAAGCAAGCGAAAGTTTTCCGGAGGAAATAATTGGGCAGGGATCCAATAGCGTTGCAGCGGGAAATGTGTAAGGGTCCGTAATCTGGAGCGCCTGCGACACAATCCTCATTAGGCTTAACAACAAGGCACTTTTGCCTGGACCGTTGGAGAGCGGTCGTTATTAATGGCGATTAAAAGCTGGAGAGCAATTATTATTCATTACGGCTGCAATCGGTATACAAATAATCACTCTCTGCCAATCTGGTTTTTATCCAGCAAGCAGAAATTGAAGGGGATACGCGGCGCCTTTCGAGTCATCCGCGCAAGACTACTTAATGATTTATGCCCCTAATTTACTTGTCTTAGGATACCAGAAGAGTTACAGCAAGTACTTAACTAAAGTGTGATGGATGGCTTAGCAAACAACAGATCGGTTAATGAGGAACGCAGTTTCTCGCTTTCGCTCCAGTTTAGGATCGGAATTGATGGCAGGAAGAACTCTGAAATTTGTTGTTGGGTCCGTGTCGACGACTCCACCCTTCTCGGCAGTTAGCAACTTCGACAAAAATATATGCTCAGCATATGTAGCTTTAAGACAAAACACATCCTCCCCTCCTTTTTAGCTGTTAAAAACTTTTTAATACTTAGCTATTCAGTTCTCACCTCCTAGCGTATTGCAAAAAACAACGGAAAAAAAAATTCTACAACCTCCCATCAGTATGGGATTCTGCTACTTGTTTCAAATGCCATTAGGGCACAGAAAATGAAGATTTTTCTCTAATGAGATAATCATTCACGATTATATAAAAAGCGCATTAGCTAAAATCGTTTAAAGGGTTCCCAACGGATCGGTGTTGACTCCCTGGGGGTGGATGAAATTTTAAACGGGATCAAGTGGTGGACGCGCGGTATCATATAGTAAACAAGAAATCCTATAAAATAAATATAAGGGGAAAATACGCTAACATTATTTAATATATATTTTTATTATGTATATTTTTAATATGTATATTTTTTATTTAGTAAAAGTAGTATAAAAATTAAGAGCAAGAACACTGGGAACACATTAATTTAAAAAAAAATACGAAGCCTGAAAAACTAGAATCGAAAACAAGAAACAAATTAATTCCTTATGACCAAGATGGTTTAAAAAAATTAAGCAGTTTTATGCCAAATATTAAACAACAAAAGCAGCAATTCATCAGACCCAATTGTCACATTAATTAAAATTGAAATTTGTGCTTTTAGAAATTGTGATTTTGTTTCTGAAAGCTCGTTTATATTAGTAAAATTAAAAACAATAAAAATACAGCAAATAATTAAACATGAATCTAATAAACCACTTTTCGAAACTATTGTTCATATTCTTAATCTAACAGTTATTTTAAAATTATTTATGCACAATTATTTACATAATGATTATATTGTATACTGTATATTACGGAGTAAAGTGTAAGCGGGTCGATGAAGCATATCATTTCTTTTAAGAGGGGTCAACGCAAGCAAAAGGCTGGAATCTACTGAATCACCATGAAACACAAAATAAAGAAGTTAAGGCGACAGAAGAAGCTCACGTGTAATTTTTAACTCAATAATATTGTTTGGTACTTAATTTATAATCTTAGAATTTACCACTGAAAATTTCCGATTTGCTCGTAGCTGCAGTTTCCTTTTAAACAGCTCCTATAACAACCTTTTCGTGAATTACTTAGTTACTGCTGAAAAATTTGGTAAAAAGTTTCAATATATTTGAAATTAAAATTTTATCTTCTAACTGGTATCTTAATCTTTTCACTGAAGTTGATACAAGATACTTTTGTAACTTATACTACCTATCTCCATTTACACACTGTAAGTGTGTAAATTTTTAGACATATAAATTTATGTACACATCAGGAATTGTTGAAAAACGAAGCCAAGTTCATAAAAAGTATCATTTGCAAAACATAATGCTTTTAAAAAGTTAATATTTTAATACTACTACTACTTTTATACTGTTTGCCGTAAATTACAAAACTGAAGGGCTTGCAGAAAGAAAGGCCCTGCTCCACTTTGGTAGATTTTGTGTTCATGGGTCTTTTTTGTTATAGAAAATCGTTCTTTGCATTACTGTTTGCATGTTCTTTGTATTAATGATTTCGTACATGTAAAAAATCTTTTATACTAGCAGTTTTAATGAGGGAAAACGTTTAGAATATAAATTAAAAAATGAATTTTTGAAATTTTTTAAAAATTTTCTGGAAATTTAAAAATGTGGAGCTGGGCCTTTCTTGCTGGAAATAGTTCATTTCTTCTGATTCTGCTGTTATGAACTTGGCTTCTTTCTCTTTTGAATACCACTCACATACACAAATCATCCTAAGATCACTTCCCCACATGGACGAAAAGGCTTCTTCTGCATAATGTGTTTCTGTAGTGTGCCATGAGTGATAATAGCATGATCTGTGAAATTGCGATTGTCTGACTCACCTGACATAGTCGTTCTTGCAGAGTATCATCCCCGCTTTCGTGAAGCAAGAACTGCCAATGTCCGCTAGTGTCGCTGAACAGCACGAGCACTTGAGGCACCCGTTATGCCAATAGCGATCAAGCGCGTGAAGGAGGAATCTGTCCATGATCTTGGCGCCGCAGCCCGCACAGCACCTACTACCCCCTGGACCACCAGGAGGAGAGAAATGCTGCTGTTGTTGCTGCTGAGGATGCGACTGTTGGATGGGCTGCATGGTGGTCATCCCGCCATGGTGAGCCATCATGCCCATCATATGGTGCTGGTCCCCGTGGTGAGGGGACTGACCCGGTGGGTTCATCATGCTCATGTGGCTCGATGGACAACAGTCCGTCGGGTAGTTGCTGTAAGGGGACTCCGTTATGGTAAGCGTGGAGTTCCTCTTTTTGCGTATGGGTACCAGGATGACTTCTTAGAAGGGTGACGGTTAAAAACAAAATTTCCAAACCGCCAGCCACTCACTCACCCTTTACAGTAGGGCCAATAAATAGAAGACCGCAAATGGGACCAAGTTTGCTTTCGCTGGGGTGCCACACACGCCACCTGAACAGAGTTCTCCCAATCTTTGCAAAAAAGTTATTCAAACAATGACGTTTCTTGCATACGGTTTCTGCCAGCTGAAATAAGCTGATAATCGGATAATCGGAATCACCTTTTCCCCTTCATGTTGAAAGTGATTCTTTCTTAACACTGCTGATTCCCAGTCAGGTGGAATTCTGAAAGAAAAAAAAACAGAAAATGTAAGAAAATGTTATTGAGAACATTTTAGCAAACTAAAACAGTAAGAAATTGTATTGGCATGGCATAATGGTAGGCATAAATTGCGACAGATAATATGAATAAGAGAAGAATTAAAAGGTTTAAAAAAAACTTAAATTTCCTTGGGATTAATTTTTTTTAAATATTTATTTCAAGCACAGTGAGAAAACACAAATATGAATGCTAACTGCAGCAGGAAAATTTTGATTAAAAACTGGCAGCTTATAATGTAACTTTCTATACAGAATAGACACTTTTGAACAGATATTTCAATTGTTTACTTTGCTTAAAACATTTTACTTCATTTTGATGCATACAGGAATAAAATATACAAACATTTTTCAAAAAATGAAAATGTTTCTGTGAAAAATATATGGTAAGTAGAAATTTAATCAAAACAAAATTAAATGGGGAAAAAAGTTTTATTTATTTTCTTCTTCAACGCACAGAAAATATGCACAATGAAAACACCATTAAAATTCTTTTAGCTCGCGGCTGGCTTTTATAGATAAATGCACTTTAAATTTCTTCTGATTTCGCTGTTTTCAAATATTTATTTGCTTTAAAGTATTTTATAGGTTACGAATATTCTTCATTATTAATATTGAAACTGAACATAAATGTTATGTTGCAAGCAACATGAGTTTTATCAGATCCTGGATATGTATCAGGTAAGAATACTCATTTGAAGCGAACAATTAAACTAAACTATACAAGAAAAATAAGAAATTAATTTTTAATAAAGAAAATATATAATGAAAGAATATTAAATTTAAAAATCTGAAAGTTTTCAGATTTCATATTACGCCATGCACTCCATATTCAGATAGCAATTTTTTTTTTTTTTTTTTTTTTTTTTTTTTAAATTTTAAAGTTTGTATATTTTTAATTTTTCTAAATTTTTGCTTAAACTTTTTGAAACTTTTACGTAAATCTCCGAGATATCAGATTGTGATCTGAAGTTTTCAGAATACAATTTATTTTATTTTATTAGCCCCAAAGAGACGTAAGTCCCGAAAGAGATATAAGTCTCGAAACGGCATTTTGCGTTAAATTGCTATAAACGGCGTATCACTTTTCAAATTTTTGCCTCCGAATAATATCGCTCTGTGCTAGATTTAAAGGGATAAAATATTGAAAAATCTAACAGAATGCACGCATGTTTCTAGTGTATACATTCTGGTAAAACAACGGTACCATCCGGTAAATTCTTTCTGTAAAAAAACAATGGTACCTAGAGCCATCTAATTTTGAATAACTTAGTCCTCCACCCAGAATACAGGTACCTGGAAAACCGAATTTTGAATTTGTTTAATTATCTAATTCGTATTTTGTAAAATTTTAACGAATAATTGATTGACAAATTCAGCGATTTCAAAGAAAAAAACATTTTCAGCTCCAGCGCGCGAGACTATCTACCGGAAATTTTAAAGATATGCAGTTTGTAAATATTTTGTGGTATTACAGTTGAATTGAATTTTATGTGGCGTAAGCGCCAAGAATATGATAATAAATCTATAAAGAAAACACGCAAAACGTTATTAATAAAAAGACAAAGAAAGTTTTGTAAAGCCATCTTAGTAAGAAAACTGAACATTAATATGATGAACTGAGTTTTAAACGTATACTGCTATGCTGCATTTAAAATTTTTGCTGTTGAATTGTACATGACGAAAAGTGCGAAGAAAATGATACTTAAAATAAAACTAAAAAGACCAAAAAAAAAAAAAAAAGGGTTAGTAACAGCATTGGTAGACTGCGATGTCAGCGACAGCGTAAAAAACCTTAACAAACCTTTTTGGGCGACCGTTAAAAATCAAACCTTTCAGATTTTTTTAAAATGTTTTTTATTATTATTATATTAAAGAAATTATAAAAAGCGCGAAAGAAAAAGGATTATAATCCTTGAAGCTTCTTAATAAGGCAGTAACAGATTGACTAGCTCTCTAGAATTGATAAACTTATAACAATAAAGAGTTCCTTATAGAATCGACAAGCTTATTTTTTCATCGAATAAGTTTCACTGCAGATAAATGAAAAGTGGACGACACTTTAGAAGCAATTTCACCAATTCTAACACACTAATTCTACGGGGATAGTAAAAAGTAAAACACATTTTCCCCTCCCCAAGTAATACTTCTCCCACTTAGCTGGAATGGCGATTTAAACAATTAAAAATAAACTGCGCGATGTAGAACGGTGTTTTTTTTTAACTTCATGACAGACATGCATATACCTACGATTTATTATGACTCAGGTGCATATAGTTGAATTTAAAAGAAAAGGTGAGCCCTCGAAGAAAATAACGTATAAATATAATAGTAGTAAATGCATATATAGGTATAAATATTAATCATAAATTAAATAGCAAATCAATTGATAATTATAGATAAATGTACACAATCACACAGTTGGAGATTAAAGATATTCTTCCCTATGTACTCTTCTGTAGCAGACAGTTAATTCAATTAGCAGATAGAAGATTTGGGTTCAGTTCCCGTCGACAGAAAAGTATGTGTTTTCATTTCTTCTCTAAAAATGCTTTATGGCTGAACTCAGTGCTTTATGGGATAGTCGTTAGTGACTCTTGACTACCGTACTGAAGGGTCCAGGTTTTAAGCCAGGAGAGGGCATAGATGCTTGTAAAGGTATATTGCCTGCGTGGAATTGGTGAACTCTAAATATGTGCGAGCCGAAAGTGCTCTCTAGAAGCTGTTGGTAGAGGAAAAGAGATGGAAGACCCTCGGACTCGTGCCACCGGGATGCTCTCCTTCAAAACTGTGGACGGAACTGAGCTAAATTTGGGCTGTCATCTATGTGGTGCTCAAGGCTCTTGCCAATGATAGGCGCAATTGACTCCTTGCCACGATGAATATCGTGGGATTGCGCTGATCATTATCAGACAAGTGAGATTGGTACCAACAAAATGGCTCAACTACGGCGCTCGATTTAAATGTGGTAGACAGTAATTCGCTATCAAATCGCTACCCATGCATTCCATTCCTTTTTCCATTTAATAGGAAATGTGAGAATTAAAAGCGATTACCTTTAACATTCTCTTGAAGCAGTTGGTAGTACTACACAAACAACACTTGGGAATAACCTGGAAAAGACAAATATCCTCCTCCCCCCGATAAGGGGGGAAAAAACAAACCCAGGTCTTAATCTTATGAGTTCTGGTCTTAACAGGACCATTAATTTTTTGGTATTCAAAATACATATTATTATTATATAAAAAGGAAGAAAAATCTTTGCTGAAATAAATTTATAGTTAAACGGAAAGCCAGTTCTCATCAACAGTCAAGATTTGATATATATAAATTCACCAGACACAAACATAAAATCAAAACATTTCTGCACAAAACAGTAATAGCTGCTTCAAGAATATCTTCAGGCAAAGACTATTACGTGCATACCATCACAGAATTAATAACTTAACTGCGATTGTCCAAGCTGAACAATCTTCCCGCGAGTCCCGTCGTAAGAAAGCAAACAAAGAAAACTTCACGTTTTACGACAATTGTGACGACCTTCACGGCCTGGGACCAGCAGCTTATACAATAACGGTAAGAGTGATAAAAGGCAAAAAAGCAAAATGTTAAGAGATCGTCACCGCCATCGCGACAATCGAAAAGAAAAGCTTTCTTGTGATGTCAGCTGTGACGGCTGCCGTAGACCATTGGTCGTGGAATGAGCCGTCATCTCTCGCCAGAACATTCGTGAGCGCCTGAACAAACCACTCGGTTGGTGCTACCTACTTGCGAGGCTGGATGTGATTTTTCATCACGACAGGAATGGGGAGGGGGATATCCATTGCAGCCTAAAGCGTGACAGTCAATTATACAACAAAACAGCAATTTTTGATAACAAATACCACAAAGTTTTTCCTCTAAAAGAACATTCTTATAATATCTAATGAGCACGCAGACTACGACAATGTACAATACAGTATTTCCTCGCGTATTTTTCCCGTTCGCTTTTTAGCGATAGGTTCTGAAATTAAAAAAAAAAAATATTCCCATAATTTTCCTCGTTATCTACTGCACAGTTTCCCCACCCCCGAAAGACAGTTTACTGGTAAACTGTATTCCTTTGATTATTTTTACTTTTATTCGGTGTATTTATTCAATTTGCATTTGCATTTTGGTATTACCACTTCATACACTTTATTTTCCCTTGCACGTCGCCCAGACAGTAAAGTGGTTAGCGACCCTGACTGTCGTACCGAAGGGCCCGGGTTCGAGTCTCGGAGAAAGCGCGGTTGTAATTTGTCCGTCCGTTCATAGGTGGCAACGCTGGCTTACTTATTAGGTGCCTCTAATATAGAGATCACCGCTTCCGGCCTCAGTAGCAGACAGAGCCAGATTTAGGCTTGATAAGGCCCTAAGGTATTTGAGATATGGGGGAAGTGGGGACCCTGAGCTATAGCTTTTGTAGCTTATACATAAATCCGGCCCTGGTAGCAGCCTACGCCTAAAAATGGGTACAGCCCGCCATTGGGAAAAAAATTCCCTTACATTTATTATTTAAGTTTTCCGCCCTAAAGCACTACACTGAAGGGAAGGATGCTTTCGTGGAAGATTTTCTACGGAAAACTGGCTCGTATTAACACGATACACATGGAAAAAACCACGAAAATGCCCATGCACCCAGCCCGTTCTCGGGATTCTCAACTTGGATCCAACCACTAGTGTTCAGGGACTTTACCGCTCGGCCACTGGTGGGCTGCATTATTATTTAGAACGTATTTCCTGCAAATTATTACCTAAGCCTACCCGGACGAAGGCGATATTTTCAAATTTAAGGAACTTTCCCAAAATGTGAATTCACCTTACTTCTATTATTTATGTGCCAACTCATTGTAGCCTTATCTTTTGCTGATGTGTTCAGTCTTTCGAAATCCGAGTCTTCTATTCGCCCCCTTCTCCTTCGTTCCTCTGATCTCCATCTTGGGAAC